TGGATCTGAGTTCATGACCAGCCTGTTCTGCAGAGTGAGTTTCATGAAAACCAAGGCTACACATAAAAAATCTGTGTCAATAAAACAAAATAAAATTGAAGTGTCATCTTGGATTTTTCTTTTGATAGGTAGGTAGTGTCCTTGTATATCTTTTTTTTAGTTTTAGTTTGAAGTATATTGTATTAGATATTGCAATGACTATACCAACTTTCTTCTTAGGCTTGAAATATATTTTACCTTTGTCCTGAGATAATATCTATTCTTGATGTTGGGGTGTAATGCTTTGATTCTTAGAAGGATGTGTCCTGTTTTTCCATGCATTCAATTAAAGTGCCTTCTCATTTACTTGTTTTATTTATTTATTTATTTACTTACTTACTCACTTACTAAGAGATATCAGTGACAAATGGTTGTTTCTTCCAGTTACTATGTTTTGTTATTTTTGGTAGTAGTGGTGATGGTGGTGCGTGTGTTCCTCTCTTATTTTGATTTTGTTGGTGTGTGATTCCTTAATTCCAGTGTTTTTATGAGTGTAATTAACCTCCTTATGTTAGGGTCTTCTTTGGGGCACATTTTGAAGGACTGGATTAATAGACAGATACTGTTTAAAATTGACTTTATCATGGATTATCCTATTTTTTCCTTCTATAGTGATTGACCATTTTGCTGGGTCTAGTAGTCAGGGGTGGCATCTGTGCTTTCTTAGAGTCTGCTGCACATCTATCTTTCCTTTTGCCTTTTAAAGTCTCCATAAGAAGTAAGGTGTAATTCTAGTAGATTTGCCTTTATACATTAATTGGTCTTTTCCCCTGATAGCTTAAAGAGGGCCTTTGGGGGTCCAGACCTATGGTCCTCTTCAGGATTCAGATCAAACATTACAGCAAAGGAAAGGAACTTATTGTATCTGAGGGTGAACAGACTTACACCATAATGTTCCAAACAAGTCTCTTTCTTCTTCTGCCTCTATTCTAATTCTCCTGTTTTAATTCTAATTCCTCCTAGATTCTTTTCTTCCAGCCTAATAACCTATTGAAAATGAGGCTGGAGCAATAATTTAAAAAAATTACAAGAGTTACCTCTCATTGTCAAAAGCACATTCCTTTGGGTGAGCAATAAGGGCAGAGGCCTTTACCATGCCAACATTTTCAGGTTTTGGGGAGTTTTATCCATTTACTTTACCCTTTTCTTTTTATTTTCTTGGCTATCTTTAATTGATTTATTCATTTTCTCTAGTAGTTCTCTAATAATTCATTTTCCCTGGACTTTTTAAAGGGTTTTTCTCATTTCCCCCAAATACTTGTTTGTGTTATCCTGGATTTCTATAAGTGATTTATTCATTTTTTAAAAAAGAGATCCAACATCTTCATATAGTTGATTTTAAAGTTACTCCAATGTGCTTCATCTATGTTTGATATTCAGGACTTTCTGTGATAGAATTGTTGCACTCTAGTAGAGACATACTTCCATGTCACTTAACAATTTTGTTCTTTTTCTAGTAGTAATGTTTTAAAATCCCGGTTAGCGAAAAGTTTATTGGAATGCAGCCACCAATGATACAATAAGTTAATCAGACTGAATTAGTAAATCCAGGTTTAATCTGAATAAAACATTCCTGGGTGGCCCCAGGGGAACAAAAAACAAGGAACCATGAGGTGAATCCAGAGGTAGGGTCTCTTAATGCCCTATGGGGGTGGAGCCACCAATGGCAGGCTTTTTAGGGATGGAGTCTAGACTGAGGTGATTCCCTGGGAGGGCCTGTCCTTGGCACCTTGAGGGCATGGTTTGGAATGAGCTACCAAACACGGATTTCTAGACATCCGTGTTTAGGATGATAATAAATCAAGGTACTAATTTCTAAGTTTATCTTGTTTGGGTGGATTTTTTTCACCTTGTTTTACCTTGTTTTTTAACTTGCTTCTGGTTCCTCTGTGGATTTTTGGAGAGTGTGATAGCTGAGTGTTGACTGTTTTACTGGCCTGCTAAGATACTATGTTCACAGTGAATGCATCCTGGAGTTGGAAGCTGGAATGCAGCAAAGAAGGGGGAGGAAATTAGGAGGGAATGTCAGTGGAATCTCCAAGAGATGTAGGCAGGGTAGGAGAGAGGATAAGGTTGATGTTCTTTTGCAGAATTTGAGGCAAAGACTGAGGGATTGGTTCTACAGGAGCAAAGAAAGAGATAGTATAGAAGCAGTCTATCTGATTTTCTTCTTTCTAACTGTGGTTGAGCAAAAGGTGACTGAGTTTGGGAATGAGATACAGTGACAAATGTGGGGGAAGGAATTTAGGAAGGGATGATTTATGGGATCCATAGGAGATGTGGGTAGGGAGAAAGAGAGGTTGCTCCTGGTTATCTGTTGCAGCACTAGGGATATGACTGAGGAATTGGGTCTGCAGGAACAGTGATTGATATTTATTCTTGATTTGCCTTATTGGTTTGTTTCTCTACTTTAAAAGGAGAAACCGGTGTTCAGTGTGAGATTCTCTTGCTGTCTAGAGCCTTTACTAGTTCTTCATAATCTTTATAATCTTTTCTTCATTTTTTTACAAAAGTCCTTTTTTTATAATAAAAAAGATGACATCACAGTGGTCTATTTAAAGCACCACTATACAAGGCAGTCTGATTTTTCTCCCACTCAAGCAGGGCTGCAATCACTTGATTGTCCTATTTATTATTTCTGTGTAATTTTGGATTCCATACAGGAGATCATAGTCTTTCTTCTATATACAATCTATACCTTGAGCTCATCTAGAAAACAATCTTATCTGTCATTTACAAGCTGATAGATACAAACTTTGCACTTTTTAAATCTACATGAATCTTATGGCCTCTCCCTTGTATATTTAATGTGATCCCAAATGCAATGCATAAAGAAAAGAGTGTTATCTCTGGTAGAACTGTCCATATAGTGTCTCAGCATCTATAAATGGTAACTTTTCTGAATTTTAAAGCTGTACTTTAAAAACTTTCACCTTTTCTTAATGAAAAATTTTCCAGTTTCTCCCTCTTTTCAATCCCACACAACTCATTTTAGCAGTATAGCCATGAGCCCATTTTAATAAATATATCATTTCTCACCTTTATCACATCTTAGTTCAAAAGCATCTTCTAATGTTCACTGTAATAACCATAAAAACATGATGACATTGTTGTCCCTCTGAGTTAATCTTCTACTCATAACTTCTTTATATTATATATTTCATGTCTAAAATCCTCCTAGAATACCTCTACATCATTCATAGGATTATATTCCTCCTCTCTGGAACAGTTTCTAATAAACATCACAATGGTTCAATCTGGTATCCCTTCTACAAGGCAATGAGGACTTGCTGTCCTACAACTTCTTAAGTGCCCGCTCACAACCTTGGTTTTTTCTGAAGTACCACCAGTCCTTTATTGTCTATCTTTCTTTGTAATAAATGTTTTCAACAGAAAGTGAAAGACTGAGATGAATTATTATTGAATAATAAAACATTTAAAATTTGAAATTAGTTTTTACTTAATAAGGTTCATGGAAGAAAAAATGTTAGGAAAGCTCTGTTATAAGGGAACAGCATACAAAGCCCATGATTGTTTTAAAATAAAAGTCTAAAAAGAATGGAAAATTGGTAGAAAGGTGAGACTATCTTCTGTGAAATCATACAAGCAGGAACAAGAAAGCACAAGCCATGGGTATGCCTGCAAAAGCTGGTCATGGATGAAGAGAACTGAGATGATGTTGAATTAGGACCAAATATGGATTTATCCTACAATCTCTTCTCAATATCTCTTTCTTCCAATAATCCACTACAAAGCCCAAATTGGTAAAGATAAAAAAATTGTAAAATCTTGCCGGCCGGTGATGGCACACGCCTTTAATCCCAGCACTCAGGAGGCAGAGGCAGGCGGATCTCTGTGAGTTCGAGGCCAGGCTGGACCGACAGCCTCCAAAACAATACAGAGAAACCCTGTCTCAAAAAGCCAAAAAAAAAAATGTAAAATCTTAATAAACACCAGCCTATTGGAAAATAATGCACAAGATATGTAGAACAATTACAAGCCTTGATCTGCATAAAATGCCTAGGTAATTAGGTAAGCAGAGAGCTTTAAAAACAAGCTATAACCTTCAACTTAACAGAAATAATTTTGAGACGCATTGCTTTTATATTTATGTTCAATGACATTCAAAATTATTCATTTAAATGAATTCAACAGAACAAATATGCACATGTAAAATATATATAACATATAATGTAATAACATAATAATGAGTGAAGATGAGGGCATGGATTTAAGAGGGATGGTTGTCATGGTTAGATGGAATGCAGAGAATGGGGGGAGGATGTGGTAGGTACTGAAGAGAAAAGAGAAAAAGGAAGGGGGAATTAAATAATAGTATTTTAATTAATTTTTATTAGAATAATGTAAATCTTAGGTAATTATGACAATAAAAAAGACTTACTTGCTAGAAAAGATTTGGGGAATTAAAATAAAGAAGTGAATAGTTTTTAGTAATTTCTTTTTTCGTCATTATAGTACTCTAACTGTAAACTATTAAAAGGTGAAAAACAACTCTTGAGACATCAATGAATCCTATTGTGTTCTACTGCAAAGTTCAAGAAAACACACGAGGCCTGTTAATTTTCTTTTGCAGTTCTCTAATGTATTACAATGTGTTCTAATAAGCTGAATATCATTGTGCAAATTGCAAACATCAGGAACAGTATGCAAATTAGCTATGATTCTTCATCCTTCATCAAAAATATATAATCAAATAACAATGATTAATTAATTTCAGTTGCTTACTGAATATGAGTTATCCTTAACAATCTCCATATCAGTTTCATTAAATATATAAAACTATTAATCAGCTTTCAATCTTCTTGGCATGATAAAGTTTATTTTCATATATTATATAACCTTGATTCCAGATGTTTGTTATACATAAAAATGACAACTTGTTGACAATTTTGTGAAGAAATTCCTTTTCCCCTGATCTATTTATTTCTTTTTCCTTCCAGGAGTTGGAGTTTTCTAATTTATTTGCTGTCCTTCACTGTATTCATTCATTTTTTGCTGCCAAAGTAGCTTGTTTAGACCCTCTGTTTTTAGGTAATCAGGCTGCTGCTTCTGCTGCTGGCAGCTCTGCTCCTACAAGCAAAGCAAAGCACATGGCTTGACATCTTGAGTTCTGCCTGACAGTCTCTAGGCTCACTCCTCACTTTCACCCAGGAGAGACCATGCTGTCACCAAGTCAACAGTGAAGTAAAACTGCAACTGCAGCACGGGAAAGGTCAGGAGGTATCAGCAGCCTGTCTCACCCTAGCAGGCATCTACAAACGGCCCTCCATGGGCAGAGACGCCTATTCTTTCTCTTCTGATATTTATCAGGACACATCTGTCACCATGTATGGTGATGAACTATTGGTGTAAACAGTGTAAATAATACAAAAATTGTAATCTATCTATAAATAAAAATACTAATTAAATGGTTATTTCTCTATTTTAGATTATTTTGTATTGCAAATGCATATTAGGCCAGATCATGAACCAATGTTATATCATTGTATTATGAGTGTAAATAAGTTTAAAAATGAAAGCAGAGCAAGTAGCATGTAAAAATAATAATATTAAAAAATAAATACCTGAAAGAAGAAGTACCTTAACATACTCACATGAGTTACTCTCGAAATTTCCATCATGAGGTTCCACATGAGCACTCCAGTTGTGTTTATCTGATTTTAAATATTCTGCAGAATAAAGCCAATTACATATTCATTAAAGTAAACATATGGCAAACTATTTTCATAATCATTAGAAATATCAATTCATTTTGTAAAAGGTTATGTGAAATCTTATTAGGAGAAGTGAAAAGTGTACGGTTGGATCTAAGATGCCTTTCCAGAAAAACAGAAAAAAATTAATAATAAAGGTTTATATATTCTGCTCTTACAACAATCACATTGGAATTACTGCTTATGTTATCAATTAAACATTAAAGCTGTGGTACAATTTGAATATGACCAAAATCTGAGTTCTGACTTTCTAGCATAAAAGAGGAGGAGTAAAGATGGATACACCTTACTGTCTCTTCGGAAACCTCTGCTACTAACCATGGTGCAGCTACATGGTGGGTGACCTGGCCTGTAGTGCATGTCAAATATGATAGTCATCTGATACTAAAATAAATAAGAAATAACCTGTGGCTTACCACTATAGAGAGGTCTTCTGAATTAACTCAGCGGTTAAGAGTTAGTAATGCTTTTGCAGAGGACCTGGATTTGGCTTCAGCACCCACACAGTGACTCACAAACATCTGTAACTACAATTCCAAGGGTTGTGGTACCCTCTTCTGAAATCAGTAACATTAGGCATGCATATAGTGCATATAAATACTGCATATGCAGGTAAAACAACACATAAAATAAAAGTAGGTTTTACAAATATTCACTTAAACATAGAAAACAAATTGTGTCTTTTTTGTTGTTGTTATACCAAATGTGCTACCAGTGCTCACCTTGTGAAAACAGCAAAAGTATAAGATGAGATCTCCGTATATAGAGCTCATGTCCTATATGTACTTACAGACACCCTATGTGTACTTACGATGTAAACATATATATAGACAAGTATAAAATATGGAGCTTAATTATAATGAAAGAAAATTTTTCACATACATATGTAGCATGACTTAAATTCATCTGTAAAGTGTTTCTTGAGATCTATTAGAAAAAAAACCTTAGTCTCATTGTTTTTTATAATATTGGCTAAAATAGTACCATTATGTTTAACACTATTAGTGAGACAAGCAACAATTAGAAAAATACTGCTCTAATTTTCATCAGCGTTAGTGTTTAGTGCTTTCTTTATAGTGTTATTAAACATTATTATTGTGATATGAGCTACTTGATTGGGAAAGTTTAGAAGTAAATCAAAATACAGATATCAGTTTCCCAGTAACTTAGGTTCACATATAGAAAATGTGTCTAAAACTCCTAAGTTTGAATATTAAGTATATGAGAATGCTTGATGATGTGTTCAGCCCTCCAGTGCCTTGGTGGATGTGTATGCACATACATGCATATGAGTAAAAATTAAAGGGCTTATTACAGTATACACCGTGTAAGGTTAAAGAGAAATGTAGTTATGTGAGTTAGAGACAGGAGTTTAAAACCACTTGAAAACTGCCAAGATGAGAATGTCTTTTATGTCATAAAAACAAGTCATGTGGACTGAAATGTGTCAAAGCAGGGGCATTTGAATTTGTTATAGTGCAACTTCAAAAACAATTTAATAGATGATTTAAACATAACAAACACCCCAATGCTTCCCATCAACACTTACTTTTAAAGAGCAGGATGAGCTAGTAATTTCTCACCCATATTTCTGGCATGAACTGACTAGTTTCAAAAGCCTTTGCTTATAAAACTTACTCATTAATAAGAAAGGCAATTAATGTCTAGTCAATATTGGCAAAGGGAGAAATCACTTACTATGCTTTTCCTCTGGACACATTAGCTGATGAATCTACACATCCTTCATTTATGGTAACACAGGTTGTTCATAGTAGAGCCAATGTCAAATGCTGGGCTTAAGTGAATCTTGAATTATCATTGAGGAAAAGTGATTGTTAGAACCCGAAGTGTGGAGAAGCTTCGCCAGGTCAAGGGCAGATGTATGCTTAACTCTGTAAGGTAAGTGTCTGTGCTCCAACTTAATGATAAATATTTTTCTCCTATTGATATCAATGTGCTCATGAGTTTAAGGAGTCTCTCAATTCATAGCTCTAGAATTGCTGTTTGTATTCTGTTCTGACTCTTTAACACTCTAAAATCATGCCATTTTTCATTATAGCTTACCTTTAATGATTAATAAAATATTATAAATGTTATAGATTATGTACATATTACAATGTAGTGAATAGAAAGATAAAATGCAAATATATTTATTTTCTTTTTAAATGTTGGGTAGGTGTTTCTAAAATGTAAATTCAGATCAGTGACAATTTGCCTTTCTGCCTTTGATTTCATCAATGAGTCATTCAGAAAAAAATCAAACACACAAAAAAAATCCCCTTTTTAATGAAGCATGCTAGAAAATAAAAATGGAAGCTTTTACTGCTTTCAATTTTGTATTTCTTTGTCTTGTTTGGATCTGTAAGTTCCATACAAATTTAAGCAAAAATCCTGACAGAATCAACTAAATATAAAAGGCAAAATAAGATGCTTCTACCAGGAATAAAAACCAGAAACACATTCTTTTCTGACTTATTAATATTCATGAACAGTTGCTTTCTGAGCTCTGAAAGATAGCAGAAACCTAAGGAAGATATTTGCCAAATTACTGAACCAACCAAGGAGTTACAACTTTTTTCCAAAAAAAGTTGTTTAGGTAACAACTTTGTTACCTAAATAATGGTCCATTCGGAACAGAATCTATATTGAAAAGCTAGGTCAAGGACATCATTGTCTTGTCCCCAATAATTGAGGAACAATTATTGTAGTATCATGTGACTTCTGTCAAGACCACAATTATGATTCATGTGAGCACATTGTCATAAAAGCATGCTCACAATAATCACTTCAAAACAGCTCCAATATTCATATTGTCCTTGTTACTAAATGAACTTTACAACTTTTCCAAATTGCTGCTGTTGATTCTTCTTTTTCAGTTTGAAAAACAATACACAAATCGGCATTCCTATTTAAAAAATAGTAAATAACCCATTATATATAATTCCAACACATGAAGAAAAAACCACAGTAAGTCTTAACACCACTAAAGTAAACAAATCATATTAGATGAATGATTTCATCAATCAATGTCCACAAACATGCATACTAAATGTCTTTATAAAAACAATTAGATAGGTTTAGTAATTCAGCAGTTCAGTGCTGATCTAGCATGAATAATGTTATTGGTTCTCTCTCTAGTAGAGCAAACAGTAATTTAATTAATATAGTAACAAAACACTCGAGTATAGCAATATAAAACAGTTTTTGGAAGAAATATATAAAAACTAGCATAATTTGTATTTTTTCTTTCAAGGAGTTTTATTAATCCTTTAAGAATGCCTTATGCCATATTTTTTATCATGTTCAGTTCCTCATTTCAACTCCTTCATGATCCACTCCTGTTCCTCTACAAAATAATAATTTTTGAGAGGGGGACAATCTCTTGGATCATGGTTGATCTACAAGGATTCTACCCTTAAAGAAAACTAATTCTGCATTTCCCATCAGCTCTCAATTGCCAATAGCTACTCAGATGGGGTGATGTTTTGTGCCCAGTTATCGTTTCTATTCTAGGAATTTGTTTGACTGGAGCTTCTACATTTCTTTTGCACATTGCCATAGTTCCTATGAGTTCATGTGTGCAACTGTTCTGTTGGATCAAGAAGAGTTTCTTTGTTGTCATCTGCCATCTGTGGCTCTTACAAACTTTCATACCTGGGATTTGGAAGAAGAAAGAGCATATGATATAGATTTTTAATTTGTGGCTAACAGATTTTAGCTTGAGTAATAACTATGATATATTTACTACATGGAATTTATACTTTCCAAAAGAGAAGTAGATATAAGCAAAAATGGAGGTGCACATTTATTTCAAAGAGTCGGGTGTTATGAAGAACTTTAAAGTTTTGTTTTATAATAAGTTCTTTGAGTTTTGATAAGTAAATATAGCGTTGTATCAAGATTAAGATTTAAAGCAATTTCTCTCCCTCCCTCCTTCCCTCTCTCTCTGTCTGTCTGTCTCTCCATCTCTTTGTCTCTGTCTCTGTCTCTTTCTCTCATGCACACTATAAATATACAAATAGCCTCCCACCCTCCCTTCCTTCTTTCCCACTTTACTTTACTTTTTGTCTTCTGTAATTTGCTCTGTAGTGCATGGTAGCCTCAAGCTCACAGGTATCTGCCTGTCTCTGCCTCCAGAGTACTAGGATTAAAGGAGTGTGCCACCACCACTCTCTGTCTCTTTATTTCTTTCTTTGAGTTCTATATGCCAGAGGTATATCGAAGGTAGGTGTCTGCAACTATCTCTCTGCAGGCTAATTTTTGAAGCAGGGTCTTACTCTGAATCTGATTTTCATAAAACAGCTATACTAGTCAGTTAGTATACTCAGAGATCTATCTGTCTGTTACTAACACACACACACACACACACACACACACACACACACACACACACACTGTTAAGTTTATATACATAAGCTGCTGAACCAGGATTTTTCATGGATTTTTTGGAATCAAAATTCACTAAGCTATCTTGCCAGCCGACGGTTTTCCATTTTCAAACATACAGAGTGCTAATATGCAACAGAACACCTTTATAACATGGCAGCTTTCTTAGTGAAAGTGCATCTGACTTCCTTTCCCTATGCCCATCAATTTGTGTAATTTCATCATGGGAAATTTTCTCTTGTATCTGGATGCTCTAGGCCTTGTGCTTTCTTAAGCTCACATGAGGGTTCCTTGCTTCCAGTTTTTGGTGACTACATAAATATCACTCTACAGCCTGTGGTACACAGACTTGTTTGTGGTGATAAATTTACATTTTCCATTATTAAGTCCCTGGGATACTATTGTTATACCCCAAGGTAGGTATATTTTTAATTAGTTTCCAAAGTACCTCCCTTCTTTCTTACAACCTTTAAAACAGTGTACAAACTGTTCCAGATATCAATACTACTTTGCATCACCATTTTCTTGATGATATTATGAAAGGAGCATAGAGGCTAAATTTATCTTTTCCTATGCTGAATGTCTTTTCATATGCTAATTTGACACAATTACTTTTGATTTGGTTTTCCTTTCTAGTGAGGTCTCTTTCAAAATCCTTTAGCACTACACAGTTTTATATAATAATATTCATTTTATTTATCTATAAAAAATTTGTATTTTATGCATATGGGTGTTTTACCTGTTAACGTGTTCGTGCTATGCTATGCCCGTGGAAGC